AGAGCTGTCCTGGCTGTCCAGCCTAAGGGCAACTACAAGCCCAGAGTCTGGAGACCTGAATATGGGTCGTTCTGGACCTCACTGCAAGCAAGAGCAGGATGGGGCAGAGCAGATGCTCTAGGAACCACCAGAAACCACAGGGGCTTATCAGGATCAGGTCAAGGAGGTTCCCTGAGCCAGACCTGCAAATGTCTGCAAATGGCCTGCCCAGGGAGGTGGTGGAATCACCATCCCTGGATGTGTTTAAAAAAAGCCTGGATGTGGCACTGGATGCCAGGGTTTAGTTGAGGTGTCAGGGCATGGGTTGGACTCAATGGTCCTTAAGGTCTCTTCCAACCCGGTGATTCTGTGAATTCCTTATGTCCTGCTCACCTCTGCCTCCCTGCTGGCAGCACAGCAGCTGCTGAACTCTGCATTTAAGTCCTATAACAAGACGTGCAGGTCAGCTCTGGGCTGCCTGGCTCTCAGTACTCACCAGCAGGCCCTGGTCATCCAGGTTGGTGATCATGTCCACCAGGTAGGTGCGGAGGGCACCCAGCTTGTGCAGCGCCTCTGTCCAGTGCACCTGCTGGGTGAGGATGCTCTGGTGTGCCCGCTCCTCCTCGGCGTGCACCCTCTCCAGCAGCCGCTGCTCCTCGTTCTCACAGGCCTTCCCCACGAGGAGCAGCCTCTGGACCACCAGCTCCCGCGCCGCGCTGGCTGCGCTCTGCCACGGCAAGGACACAGCAGGAGCATCAGCCCTGCTCCAGCCCCGGGAGGAGCCCCAGCTGCTTCGCCAGCACTCCTGGGGCTCAGCCATTGGTGCTACTCTGTTAACTGAGACCATGGCACCTGGCACCATACCAGTCCCAAACCTGCCCACTGCCTCCTCAGCCAGCCCCAGTACCTAAGTGACAACCTGTGAGGGACCAGAGTCCTGCCCCTCCACAAATCTCCAGAGATTCACTGTGGGTGAGAAACAGGAGAACAGGCTGAGACAGCTGGGGGTGCTCAGCCTGAAGGAAAGACACCAGGGAGAACTTACAGCTCCTTCCAGTGCCTAAAAGGGCTCCAGGACAGCTGGAAAGGGAATCAGGACAAGAGCCTGAAGAGACAGGACAAGAGGGAATGGCTTCCCACTGCCAGAGGGCAGGGTTATATGGAATATTGGGAAGAAATTTTCCTTGCAAGGGTGGTGAGATGCACGGGGTGCCCAGAGAAGCTGTGGCTGCCCCTGGATCCCTGGCAGTGTCCAAATCCAGGCTGGAAGGAATTTGGAACAACCTGGGATAGTGGGATGTGTCCCTGCCTATGGTAGAGGGTTGGAACTGGGTGGTCTTTAAGGTTCCTTCCAACCAAAACCAGTTTGGAATTCTATGATTCTATCACTGTCCTTTGTCCTCATTGACTGCAAGGAACAAATAAAATAAACGTAGGAATTCTAAGGCACTGATCCTAGTAGGATGTTTGATTGTTGTACACTCACACCATTGTCTATGCGCATTTTCTAGGCAAATGAAGCACGAATTCCAGGCACACCCTGGCATTCCATTTCCACAGCGGCATCCCGACGTCTTCCCCCCTGGGAGCTGAGCATCCCTTCCGGCAATGGCGAGCAGGGAGCAGGCAGGGCCAGCCCCAGGGACTCACCTGGACGCCCTGGTCTTTGGCAGGCAGCACCTCCTCCACGTGCCGGGCGATGGCCGCGCTCTGCAGCTGGATCCGCTCGCAGCGCTCCACGAGCTTGTTCTGGGACACGGAGCAGTGCGGTGATGGATGCAGGTCTGGACGGGGCCCCGAGCCCCGGCAGCCACCCCACACCTGCCCGGTCCCCTGCACCACCCCACAGAGAGCCCCCATCCCCACGGGGCCCCCGAACAGCCCCACACCCCACCAGGGCCACACAGCACCCCACACCCGCCAGGAGCCCCTCGCAGAGCCCCCGTCCCCATCCTTGGGTGGGCCCACACGGCCAGGGGCTCCTTCAGAGCACCCAGCTTCCCGTGGGAACACCCGCATGGCCCCACACCCTGCCAGGGACCCCCGCGGCCCCACATCCTGCCAGGGACCCTACACACCCTGTCAGGGACCCCCGCGGCCCCACAAACCCCCAGGGACCCTACACACCCTCAGGGACCCCACACCCGGTCTGAGACCTCCACACCCCGTCTGGCACCTCCACTCCCTGCCAGGGACCCCCCCGGCCCCACAGCTGCCGAGGCACCCCCACACCCCGCCAGGGACACCTGTGGCCCCATACCCCCACCGGGACCCCCACACACCCCCAGGGAGCCCCATATCTCCCCAGGGAGCCCCATATTCCCCCAAGAACGCTCATACCCACCCAGGAGCCCTTACACTCCCCGACACACCGGCACGCCCGCCCGGACCCCCGTCCCGCCGGAGCTCCCCAGCCCCGCACGGCCCCGCTGCCCCCCCAGCCCCGGGCTCCCCTCAGCCGGCCCGGGCTGGGGTCCCGCCGCTCACCCGCAGCCGCTCGGCCCGGGCCATGCTGTGCCCGCACCTGCCGCGGGGGCGGCGGCCCCGCCCGGCCTCGCTCGGCGCTCCCGGCTCGGCTCCGCCCCG